CGAGGAGATGAGTTGAAGCTTAAACACTAAAGGATGATCTTTTCTTCCTCTTGTGAATTCTCTTCAGCAAAACCGACAACTTTGAACAGGCTTTAAACCATCCTTTAATTCAGACTTAAAGCTGCTTGTTATAAGCTTGATTAACAATATTTTCCTTATGTTAGATAAAGAGCTGAAGCGATCTGGGGCGCGGTAGGCTGGCTCTGAGGATGGCGCGATCTGGGGGCGCGGTTTATTCAACGCCCTCGAGAGATCTGAGCCCTTCGTTGAAAATCTACTCATCGCCCCAAAATCGCCTACCTTGCTCTCATCTCTCCGCGCAGGATCAGCCTCCCGCGCCTGGCGCTGCCTCTCACAGCGCGCCGCGAAATTCCCGGCGCGCCTGGAGCTCGCCGCCCGCGATCAGCACTCGCCGCGCCTCAAGGCGCGAATTCGTCGGGCCATCACCGACCCCTCTCCTCACACGCACCCAGGCCGAGGAAAGCGCGCCGCCCAAGCTCGGGCCAGCCCTCGACGTCCCCGTTCAGCGTCGCCCGCGCCCGTCGGCCCTTGCCTTAGGGCCCATCAACCTGCCCGCTCCTCCCTCTCTCCAGCTGCCGGAGATCCCGGCCGCTGGAGGCGTCGCCCGCTGGTCATTGCTGTCTACGGCCTCCTCGCATCGGAGGCTCAGCGCCTCGTCAATCAGCCCATGGCCTTCTCCGACGGCATTCGACGCTCCGGCCCCTGTCAGGTTCACTCCGCAACCCGTCCTGGAGGCTCGCCAAGCCCTCGACATCTGCCTCGCCATGCACCTCGCGCCCCTCCTCCGCGAACCAGGCTGTATGGAATAATCAGATTATTCCCAGACATCGCCCGCGCCTGCGCTTTCTGCACCGTCCCCCGCTCAGTTTGTCCGGCTGCGTAGGTGCCAATCTGGCACTTCGCCGCGCTGTCCGGAGCTCGCCTCCCAGCCGGACGTAGGAGGCATCAAAGGTCTTGAAAATTAAACGTGTTAGTTCTAACTGAAAATGCAATGTTAGCATAGGCTCTAAATTAACGTGCTAGTTTTAAAGCTGAAATGCATGTTAATGCTACCGCGGATGCATGGTTACTCTAATGGAGAATGATGTCTAGTTCTATTACAAGGCATGTTAGTGTGCTAGCTTGAGGCGTTGCCTGGTGTAGATCTAAGTGGTATTTCATGATGGTTCTAATCGTTCCCCTTCATCGCATATTTCCTTGGATAGCTATCTCTTCCTTTTAAAATTTCAGCTCATACATTTACTTGGTTTTGGCAAGCAGACTGCACGTTCTAAGTTGTGGGAGTCGAGCCGGATAAATTTAGAAGACTATTTTTAGATGGCACCATTATGTATTGTTAAACTTGGAATATGAAGACTTTCACAGATTGTGGTTAGTTAAACTATCGTAAATTGATTGTTTGTGAAAATGTGAAAAGAGGATGAATACTTGAATGAAACGTTTTTTGAAGCAAGATTTTGAACTTTCCTTATATGTGTGGATAAATTTTGTATAGCTTGTATACGAGACTTGCCAACAGATTCTCCCTCATACGTTGAGTGCAAGACAATGGAAGAGAAGATCAGAGAACAAGGGACCTAGATGCATTAATCCTCATCTACAACATGGGTTCCCGCCTCAGGTGATAATATCTTTTGTTTATAGCTGTACTACTTAACTGTAGATATGACTATATAGCGCAAAATACGTTGTTCTTTCTAGCCATTGTGAGTTTTTGTTTCTCGTCTATTGTTTATAGGCACTTCCGAGCATGATAGACAGAGATGGG